TTTCTATTTGTTTGAGTTCTGTAGTTAATGTTTTGATTTTGTCCCTTTCTTCTTTTTTGATATGTGCATCTATTGCTATAGATTGTCCTCTGAAGACTGCCTTTGCTGTGGCCCAAAGGTTTTGGTATCGAAATAAATTTTTAACCATTTTGATACATAGTTAGGTTCATTTGTTTCATTTTATTTTTAGAAATTACTTTCTTTTAATCTTTTGGTTTCAATTTTTAATTATGAAAAACATTTCTGTTGTTGCAGTCAAAAATGTAAAACAGTGTACATTCAGAGAAGTGTATCTTCTGTCCTTATTACTGCTACTCCAGTCCTTCCCTCTCCCCAAAAGTAACCTTTTTTTTTTTGTTTTTACTAATTTTGGTTTGTTCTTTCAATTTCTTTTTGAAAATATAAGAAAATGTAATTTTATATGTATGTATGTATGTAGATAAAAATGTCTTTTAAATTCTGATAGACTCAGCACTATAGAAGTACTTCCAAATGGCTGCTGTAGAATCAGTAGTAAGACTTATTGCTCATACTGTCTATCTTTGAATTTATTGAATATTTATGTAGTTAGTATGTGTTTACTTAGCACTTAGTTGTCTATTTTAATGATATATACTTCTATCTCTGTCCTATTTAATAGTGAACTGAATTCAAAGCTGCAAGATACTTTAGAACAAATTGAGGTAAGAAGTGCCCCATCACAAGTTAAACGATTTTTTCTTTTTGGAGCTTTTTGAAAGGCATAAATGTACCTTATATTTTGGCTTTCATATTATTATTACCAGTGTTTTAGGTGTTTTTTATTTTGAATATCTCTTGATGGCGAAGTTAATGTTAATCTACTTGTAAACCTGATAATACTTTTGGAATTATAGGATCTGAAAACAGTATTTTATTTCCAGAAAATCCTGAAACTGCCAGTCATAGTTATGTCCTTATTATCTAAATTATAGCCAAAATACTTTCTATTATTAGTTTTCAGTTATCAGCTGGTTCTCCTTTTTAGTTTTGTGAGTTGATTTACTTAAGAAAAATTATTAACTGATAAAAGCCTTCCTAAATTCCTAAACCTCATAATAATATCTCACAGTTCATCAAAAATATAGAAACTAGAAAGGAAAAGGTAAGTCACTGTGAACAAGAAGCTTTGCTTTTCCTCTATGTATATATATATTCAGAGTTTGTCTCTTTGCTTGGCAGTCTTTGCAAAGCAGGGTTTTCATTTTAACAAATACAGCAAGAATAATTTAGTTTCTTCTGGAATTGTATTGTTTTCCTCATAAGAGGACTTATAAAAGTTAAAGCTGGACTTTCAGATGATCTTTTATGAAAATAGTTCTTGGTCATGGGTGCAACTATTTGCTAATTGTATAAAGATCCCATTTATTTGATAATCATAAAAACAGCTGCTTTAAAAATCTTATAAGTAAACAATCCTCTATATTTTTAATGAGGGCTTTCTATTGAAAGCCCATTTCTTCACTCTTAATATACAATATTATTCTATACTTACATAGAAAATCTTTATCTTAAAATGAAATTATTGAAATAGAAACTCATAATGTCAGTAGATTTAGTTACAGAAGTGTAAACCTTGAGGTATGTACTTTTAAGAGCAATTGAGTTTTTTTGAGAATTGCTTCCCAGTGATTACAGGATTGTTCTATTATTTCTCAGTAGTTCCATTAATTTTAAGATTTTAGCTCATGCTTCAGGGAACATAAAGTTAAGTTAAAAAAAAAAAAATCCTTAAAGAAAATACACTTATTATGTGTCCCTTGAGACTCTAGGTATAGGTTTTTAGAAACTGAAATATTGATAATATATCAGTAAGCTTGATTATAGTTTTTAATATATGATCATTATGTAATAAATGATCATTTATTTGTAAATTTACCTAAATTTGTTTTTGATTGCTAAATTCAGTGTGATACTAAATGTATTTAGATCTTAATTAAAAACGAGAAATTATTCTTGATATTTTCTTCTCATTGTCCTGGAAACATGATTCCTTAACCACTTCTTGTTTCCTCTTTTAATTACATAGGAACAACTGGATGTAGCACTTTCCAAAATCTGCAAGAATTTTGACATTAACCATTATACCAAGGTTCAACAAGCTTATCGACTTCTTGGAAAAACACAGGTTAGTTTTGAAAGGATGCTTGCTTTTTTCTTAATCAGAAATCTATTAATCTTTATGATTGCTTAAGTCTGAATATTACTAATGTGGTGCCCTTAGTGGATTTCATTTAATACAGTAAGTTTTTATGCTGTATTAACAGATGTAATTTAGTTGTTCCATGTGTATGTAGTGTGATTAAAACATTACAGAAGTTTGTTTTGAACTGTGTAGTGTTTGTCAAATTCATTATTTCTACAATTTTATGTAGGTTTTTTTTTTTTTTTAAAAAACGTATATTATAAAATAATTCAATGGGAGAAGACATATAGTCTCTTTTACCTCAGCTCTTGATCCTGGATCAGGAGTTCTTAATTTGGAGCTTCATGGGTTCCTAGATAGGCCAACATGACTCTCCAAATGGTATGTAAACTGTTGCACCTTGTGTACCTTTATCTGTAAAAACTAGTTCATTGCATTTATCAGGTTCTTAAAAGGGTTCTACTGTCCCCAAAATGTATATAATTGCTCTCATTATCCATGGCTTTACATACTCTAAACTGCTCAAGGCTTCCTTGAAAATCTTGAAGCATTTGCCATGGTTTGAAAGCTGATTGGGTCTTCTTTTGTACAAGTTTATATGTTTATCTATACAACATTTAGACATGATAGATATAAATGTTTCCTTCCTTTAAATGTTCCCCTCTGTACGAATAACTTCAAATTTAAGAATCAGTACAAAGCCAATTCCTATGAGGTGGAGGTAAAATATATCCCAAATTTCCACATTATCCAAGTTACTGTGCCACTCCATCTCTGATGCTGGCCACTCTCCCTCCCCTTAGCACTCTTGCCTCCCCGTTTGGGTTTGGCAGTTCACTGTAACTTTTCACAAAACTCGTGAACACTACTTACAGGAATAGGGTACAACTCAGGATCAGGATCAGGAAGCATGCAGGCAGAGTCTCCCTTCTTAGTGCTGGACAGCTCTCTCAGCTCCTCTTGACCATGCAGGGTTCCTCTCAGCCCCCTGGGGACAGGCTTCTCTTGGCCCTGCCACCTGTTACCGCCAGCTCTGCCACTGGGCCCCTTCTGGGCCTCTTGCTGTCTTCAGTGTTACAACCTTGACCATTTTACAGCTCTTTTAGGGGGTTCTTTGCTTCCTTTGTCTCTCTGCTTTGTCTCTGTTCTTTCTTCCTTTTGCTTCTCTTCCTGCTGCTTCCTGTTTGCAAAACCTCTATGGGGCTGGCCGCTTATATCTACAAATACTTCATAAATTTCAAGACATGGCCCTCTCACCAAGGCCACCAACTGACCAATCCCCTCTCAGTAGGCCACAGACACTTATTTGCATAGTAGGCTATAGACACTTCATTTACATGGTCTATAGTCACTTCATTTGCATAGTCTATTGACCAATCCCTGCAAGGTACGTACCAATCACAGGGTAGACTGCAGCCCAGCTCCAAAAAAAAAAAAAAAATCAAGTTGTACAGCTTACCTAGGAAATGTCAATCAACCTGGATAAAAGTAACAAACCCTGTGGGGTAGAAACTAGGGCAAATGTAATGCCCCAAGGCTTAGGGGAAAAATCTGTCAAGCTATTTTTCTAAAGAACTAAGGCAAATGCTGACATAAAGGAACTCATTTCACCATACCCTCCATTATCATTCTTTATTAATTTTCAGTTCTTAAATAATACGTAGGAAAAACTACAAGAAGGAAGACATTTGGCAATTTTGAGGGACATATTTAAAGACCTTTGAAAATGCCATTACCGTATTTTTATGCAAACAAATATAGGTGTGCGCTATTTGCATAAAAATACGGTATACTTCGAATTTTTTCTGTTAGATTCATTCTTTTATTCATTAAATATTTATTGAGATCTATTATGTGCATTGCTCTAGGTACCTGGATATAGACCCTCATGCATCTCACATTCTAGTGGAGGAGACAGACATTAAAGAAATAAATGAAAGTGATATTGGTAACAAATGCTATAAAAATATAAATCAGGATTAGAGGACAGAGTGATGTAAAGTACCGACTTATATGGGATTATCAAGAAAGGTTTCTTTGATCAGATGACCACTGAGAAGTGCCCTGCATGACGGAAAGGAATGAATATCTTATGCCAGAGGAGATCCTGAGGTGTGATTGTACATGACAGGATTGAGATAGATCTTGATGGGTACACAATCATAAATACAGAGCAGCAGAGCAGTGTTCATGATTCATACTTCAGCAGTATGATGTTTTGGTTAGTTGAAGGGTTATTTGCAAATAATCAACATTACAGTTATAATTCTGTGAATAGCAGTGATCTTTGTGCTGTAGCTATAGTTGGTAAAGATTTTTTCCTGTGTTTTTCCAGTCTGTTGACATCTACTTACATTAATAACATGAAATTACATTGTATGCTTTTTTTCCTCCACAGACAGCAATGGATCAACTTCATATGCACTTCACTCAAGCCATCCACAATACTGTGTTTCAAGTTGTGCTTGGTTATGTGGAACTATGTGCAGGAAACACAGATACAAAATTCCAAAAGCTGCAATATAAGGATCTCTGTACAGTATGTAGTAATTTAATTACTGGTCATATGTCTCTTTTTTAGTTTTTAAATTGATATTCCATTCTTCTTAGCACTTACCATTTGAAAATGCTATTAAAATAAAAGCAAATATGTTCGCCAAAAGTTTTTTTGTTCCATTGTATTCCTTTACTCATGCAGGAACTGGAGGACTCAGTCACACAGGTGACAGTAGTTGATGAGATGACACACAGTTGTGGAGGGCAGTTGCTTCTAAATTGACTCTACCCTTGAGTAGCTTTTCTTACCCTTTTGTTTCAGGTTCTTAATTCTCTTCTATGATTGCATTTTAGGGTGCTTTTAAGCAATGACTTTTGGTAGTTTTCTGCACAAACTTTCAATCATTCTTTTCATGTGTCTAAGTGCTGTCTATGTCAGCATCTGCAGCCAGTTTTTCCTTTTCTTAAAGGAACAGAAGCCTATAGGTAATTTAACACACAGGTGAGAAGTGGACAGTTTTGCAAGTAGGTCCTGCTGAGAGGGTGATGTAGAATGTGAGGAAAAGCCGAGGATGAACAACTGTGTGAATGGTGGTGTCATTTGCTTCTGTAGGGAAGACTGGTGAGGAGCAGGTTTGAGTGGGCAATCGTGAGTTTAACTTGTTTTGCAAATGTGTTAAGGTGCCTATTAAACATTCAAGTGAACTTGTTGAGCAGACGGTTGGATAAAAGAACCTGGAGAGATCAGAGCTGGATTTATAGATTTGGGATTCTACAGCATCTATTTGTATTTAAAGCCATAATACTGGATAGGATCATTTGGGGAAAGGGTGCAGACAGAAAAAGACACAAGAGTCCTTGGCCCTGGGACATTCAGGCATTGGGCAGGGGAGAAGAGACCAGTGGAAGATCCCAAGGAGCAGCCAGCTGGGTATGAGGAAAACCAGGAGATCGTGTAGTCACAGCAGACAGTGTTCCAAGAAGAAGGGAATGTTAACCTATTTTAAATGCTGCTGTGTCTGGTATTACAGAATGGGCCACTTGATTTGACAGTATGGAGGTCATTATTGACCTTGGTCTCTTTAATTCTAACCTAAGAATGTTCTATATCTCTCAGTAGAGAGACATTCTTGAGTTTTCTATAATATCAACTAAGGAAATTATATACATAGTCCTAGGAAGTAGATATCTGGATGTGAATATCTGTTCAGCATTTTAGCCTAATTGATACTAGTAAATCATTGAATGGCTTTGAGCTTAAGTAGTCATTCTCTATTGTAACTGTGTCTGGAAATCAGTATGAAATTAAGCTAATCTTCATTCTTTAATAAATTTATGTGCCAAAAGTGTAGCTTATTTGTCCAGTGGGAACTGGAGAAATATTCTTACTTGAGCTACAGCAAATACTTCAGGAAGGTAATGATTATGTATGATATATTAAAGATTAAGTTATTAACGACAATGGATGGTTGTTAACATAGCTAAGGAGTATCTTTTTAATCATGTTTTAATCATTTCATAAGTCATAAGGACCGTTTCTCAGATTTTGTGATTATTAATTTTAAATGTGATATAGTCACATAATTACATTTGTAGATTATCCAGTGTTAAGTACAACCATCATTTTGGTAAGTTTTAATGATTTTGAAATGTGTTCTTTATTTCTTTATTCATATATTTTCCTAGATTGATAGTATATATGTTTAAATTGTTGTTGTTGGGTGCCATCAATTCCAGCTCATAGCAACCCTATATGACAGAGTAGAACTGCTTGCTCCATAGAGTTTCCTGGGCTGTAATCTTTACGGGAGAAGATTGCCAGATATTTTTTCCCCACAGAGCGGCTGGTGGGTTTGAACCACTGACCTTTCGGTTAGCAGCTGAGCGCTTAACCATTGCGCTACCAGGGCTTCTAATTTATATATCCAAATAATCAATTTTATTTATTTTATTATTGTTGCTGCTATTTGATTTAAATGGTAAAGCAATTTTTTTTACAGGTTAGTGATTTTTCTGTTAAAGCAGAAAATAGTTTTTAATAATTTAACAAATTAGACTTTTGTCCTTCAGTCTTCTTTCTTCGGTTGTATCTGGTGTGTGTGTGTGTAGGCGTATTTATGCTCATGCTTCTCGAGAATGTCCTCTATGCATTTACATAATGCAAAGCTAAATACTTTACTTAGCTTATAAATTCTTAGGAACAAAAATTTGTGGTTAAGGTGTTTACCATATCATTTTTCTTCTGCATTTCTTTCGCTTTTTAAAAAGCTGACTATAAAAGTAGCCTATGAAATTGGTGTGTATATTAAAATGATCAAATAACAACTTATCCTTCCTGATTTTTTCTTGACTAAACACTTGTTAAAATTGCCTCAAGAAATTTCCGGTACGTTATAAAATTGTGCATATGTACATATTTCTTGTACATTATAAAATTGTACATGTGTGTTATACTAGGTCAGGTATACATAACTAAATGAAAAAAATGATTTATTGGTGTACTAGAGCTTAGTCAAAGGATGCATACACACACAGAGACATACAACAGCAAATGCATATTATTTATCCAGCAGAGTTGTACATTTTTGGTTTATATTCAAGCAGTGCTAAAAATTAGGTGAAATCGTTTTTATTTAAAGTGTTGAGAGTAGTAGCAAATGTTTGGAGCGGCTTAAGGGAGGAATTTCTTTTGAGGAAAGGCGTTAAAAGAATTAGATATGGTAGCTGTTTGAAAGAATAGATTTAGAGGAGTTGGTTAATGAAGTGATGAGTGTAATGCATTTTAAGGTGACATCCTTTTCCACTGTTGCGTTTTGGGTTCTCTATAGAATTAACTGCCTCTCTATCCTTTTTTGGAGCCCTGGTGGTGCAGTGGTTAAGAGCTGGACTGCTAACCAAAAGGTTGACTGTATGAATCCATCAGCTGCTCCTTGGAAACCCTGTGGGCAGTTCTGCTCTGTCCTATTGGTTTGCTCTGAGTCAGAATCGACTTGATGGCAATGGGATTTTTTGTTTTCTGTCCTTTTTCTGTTTTCTGACTTCTTAATCTGGTCTTTTATTTACGTGTCTTTATGTTACTCTCAGTCTTTACAGACTGAGACAAAATATAGATTATTTATATAAGTAGTTGTCTACATTGAGCAATAATTATGTAATTAATTTTATGCTTAATCTTAAAAGTATATTTTTAAATTATACAGCAAATACATGTTAATTGTAGGAAATGACAAATAAACAAAAAGAAGAAAATAATTATATATTAGCATGTCATGCAAAGCTGCTTTTTAATATACAGATAGGAAAATGGCCTTTAAATGTAGGATTATGCTATATGCATTATTTTATAACTTTTTTGCACTGGTTGTAACAGTTTTCCATTTCAGTAAATATGCTACCCACATAATCTTTAATGGCTTGCCAGTATTTCCCTGTAAAGGTTTCCTGTGGATTAATTAACCAGTTTCCTATTCTTGGATATTTATGTTATTTTTAGCTTTTGTCATTATAAAAAACACTGTAGTAAATAATCTTAAAGGTAAATCTTTGTGCACATCTTTAATTATTTATTTAGGATAAATCACAAGAAATGGTATTGCAGGTCAAAGGGTTGACATTTAAAGGCTTTTGGTTCATTTTTCCAAAATTCCCTCTAGAAAAGTGGTTTCCATTTATACTCCTTATCAGCAGTGTCTGCTTCTGTCTCTTCCCATGAACACATGAATGGTGATTATTTGTTATTTAAGAGCTTAATTTTCAGATACCAGAAGGTAGCATGTCAAGAATAATTTATGTTGTTTATCACTCACGCATATTTGGGATGTGAAAGCAATTAAACTGGGACATTTCATTGATTGCTGAGGTTAATTTGGTTGATTTGGTTGGATAGGCGAATATTTGGTTGAAGAGAGAAACTTTTTTTAATTAGAGGAATATTAATATTCACTTGAGGGCTCAGGTCATTTTTAGACTGCTCTAAGAACTCAGCTGGCAGCTAAGTAATACATACTTAGCATGTATTTATAATGTGTAGCAATTTTTTGTATATGAATTTGTATATTGCTTTCTAAATATTTAAGGTGAAATAAAAAATAGGTTGTAGTAATTTTTAAGATTAAAGCCTAATAATAAAAAATAGGTAAAGGAAAGTTTATTCTTTTTCCTTGCTGTTTACTCTCAGGATTGTCAAGGGTCTGAAATCTTACCCTACTTGCAAGCTAACAAGCTTTGTTACTGTTTAATGGATGCTGGTAGAAAATCCAAGACTCCTGGCTGAGGAACTGAAGACTTTATTGCTCAGGGCAAAAGCAGTGACCAGAGCTTCCTGTTTGCCCCAGTTCCTCCATGCCCTCCAAGGCCCACGGGGACAAACCGGAGGCCTAAATTAGTACGCACGTACAGTGAGTTGCCTTATAGGAGGGCACTGAGCTTGGGGGATTCACGCTTTTATAGTAATTGGAAGCAACCCTACGGTTTTGTCTGGGCGGAGACATTACCTCGTTTCAAGGTAGCTCACTGCAAATACA